CTTCCAAAGAGCAGTATCGCCCCAAAAGAGACTCTTGTCTACCATAGAGAGCCTATAGAAAAAGGCTCTATTACATGTTATACCTCTAATTGATATATTTTATTCAGATATATTGTACTATCTGTGAATTTTCTTCCTGTAACAGGTAAGTATACCATTGTGGTAAAGCTCTATAATACAACAACATTATATTTGAAACCATATATATAGAATGACATAGTCAGCCCTTTAAGCAGGTGGAAAAAGGGCCATCACTTCCACCTACCCTTTGTCATAGATTTTTAAGTGTCTCAGTTCAGTACAGAAAGTTAGTTGACAAGAGTGTAAGGAGAGTTGAAGGATCAAATGCAAGGTCCACATTCTGCACTTGCAGGACACCATAGATCAGACCACAAAGTTCCAACCCATCAGGTCTGGAGATAAAGGTAATTGCCAGGTTATTTTTTTTGTCGTGCATAAAGGAATTACAAACATGCCTGAGGTACCCCAACGACATTCCTCTTGCTGAGCATCACGTATAACAGTTGGGTAATAGATGAGACACAATTTTAGAATACGAGAATATTCGAGGTAATCATGTCAGTATACAAAATATAAAACATGCTTAGATGTCAGGTTACAAGAGCAAGAACAAGTTTGGCCGAAACAGTAATGTGGCATTGGAACCAAGCTACATGCCACAGCTCAACCATTGCTAACTAGAGGATTTTCGGGCTTAGGTACATATAATAGAGATTGTAAGGTCGCAAGCTAGATAAGGTAAAGACCATAGATAATAACGGTGCTGCTTCACTATTATGCATGTCAGACCTGACTAAGCCGACTGGGTGATTAGGTAGCAGTGTAGCCTCTGGGTGTTAGTAGGTAGCGGAAGGGTAGGGGAAATATCAACTATCAACGCTGAGCACATCATTAATTAAAATTTCAGGCAACAAGAGTGTATAGAGAAATACATTGTCGGCTGTAATCAACCAATCCCTCGTGCAGGCCATAACAGAGTCCATCTCCATGTTAAGTATGTTGTTTCCTCTCCCCAGCACAGGGTCTGTCGGGTGGTGCTGTGTGTGCGACAGGCGGGTTGTCAGTAGCCTGTAGTGCAGCGGATCCCTGTAGCTTCGGCTCCGGGCCCTTAAAAGAAAAGTGTCCTTAGTCCATGGATCCGCCGGTTCCAAACAGCGGGATCGTGGGCCCTGCGGGTCTTCTCCGTGGGCCTATGGACCGCGGCATGGAGGGAACTCCAGTTGGGCCCCCACCCCAGAATAGGCACAGGTAACCGATTCTGATTCACATGCTGTCTGCAACACTTGAGGGGTGATTGTGGGTTGCCGCTTAGCGAGACGATCCCAGAAGTCCTGGCATATTGTCTCAAATCTGGCGTTGAAGCTTTCTCTCCAGTTCTGGCCTGACAGGCTCGTTTGATTGTATTGAGGTGTCAATACGGCGGCCATCTTGGATGAGCCGGGTGGCTTTCAAGATTCCTCTGCTTCTCTCCCAGGAACAGGATTAGCTAACCCAGTAGGGACCGGGATATCCCCCACTGGTCCAAAGGGGGGGGGGAGGATGCCCAGCCAGCTTCTCCGATTCGGACTCCGCAAGGTATGCTTGGCGTTTGGAGCGTCAGCTTATAGTTTAAAATCTCTTTCTGCCGGGATATGCACTGTTTTGAGCAGTAATGGCCCGATTGTGGGGGGCCACAGGCAAACACGTCTGTCCATGTTATAGGTCAAGCCCCGCCCCAGGTTAGTTTTTTTAATTAGCAGCCAAGTCCCTTCTTATCTGAACCAGGTAGATAAATGCACAATGTTGGGCAAAAAAGGTGATAATCCCTGACACTAGATATACATTTCGTCTGCTAACTATGGTTCCTCATGGGGTCAATGGAATTCTCCCCAAGCTTTGCTGTATGGTGATCTAGGAGGAATAGTTTTTACTATAGTTATTCACTGTACTGGATACAGCTTGCTAGTCTCCTATCAGTATGGGAGACAGTAGATTAGAGTCAGCAGATGGTTAGTTACAGATAACCCTGCAACATGTATTGAAACTTAAACATAACAATATACTAGTGAAAAATTTAAAGAATGGAAATCTAGGGAAGTTTCATGGTGGGGGAGAATAAATATAAAATCTTACATTCTTCCAAAATTAACCTATTTATTCCACATGATCCCCGTGTCCTGTGCAGATAGTTGGCTGAATCTGTCTCCGTCTATATTTAACAAATTTATTTTATGTTTTTATATCTTGAATATGACGTCAACCGCTAAATTATTCCATATTGCCCCGACTACAAATGTGTGTGTGTGTGTGTATACACAATGAGCATGTACTGCAAGCATGTCAAACGCAAAGGCCAACACGAGCCAAAAAAAGGATTTAAGTTTGTGGGCCGCAAAAAAACAAAAACTTCAGTTTTCAAAGAAACAAGTTTATTTCGAAAAGTACAGTATAAAAGTTGCCTAACTGTCACTGGACGTCCTCACGATCGTAGGGCTTCAAAGTAAACAAAAGAGCAAATTTATTTTAAGGAGACATGCATTTGTATATAACCAATGTTTCAGTCCAACTAACTTGACATATTAAGAAACGTTTGGTAATGGGACTGAAATGGTGAATGTATGCTGTTGCACAGCTGTAAAAAAAAAATTACGTTAGCTTGTTGATTCTGAAGTTATACAAGTGTGTTCTTTACTTTGGATGAGATTATCAAACTTGATGATCTCAGCCAACCCAATGCTTTCCCATGGGTCGCAAAAAGCTGCACAGCCAAACAGCATCTCCATACAGTTCAACGCCTCCATGCAGACACAATCTAATACACTGGCATCTCCCCCCATTCTAATACACTGCCCCCAAATCCAAAACACTGCCCCTACCTCCACTCTTATACACTGCCCCCTCCACCCAATCAAATACACTGTACCCCCTCCCTCCACTGTAACTCAACATACTGCCCCCACTCCCACTACTTTACTTTAATACACTGCCCTCCCTCCCCACAATTTAATGCACAGCTCCCCTCCCTGCCCAATTTAATACACTGCCCCCCCCTTTCATCACACTTACACACTGCTTCCAATTACCCCCCCTTCATCACACTTACACACTGCTTCCAATTTAATACACTGGCCTCCTCCCTCCCCCAAATGAATACACTGCTCCCCTCAAATTATTACTCTGGTCCCCTCTCTCCCTCAAATGAATACACTTACCCTCCTCCTCAATTTAACACACTACACAGGAAGGTCCCCAAGCCCCTCATAAGATGAGCCACCCATCCTCCAGTTCTAACCCTGCTCTTCTCTTTTAAGCAGGCCAGACACTCCTCTTGCAATGTGAGGAGGAGGGAAAGGGAGCAGACAGACACATTGCACTCTTGCGGCTGCAGGAGCACGCAATCCGTCATGAATCAGACAAGAAAGATCTTTACTGTCTTGCGGCTGGTCGCAGCCACAGCACAGAGCAGCCCCAGTGCAGGAGGGCCGCAAAGTTTGACATGCTTGCTGTACTGTATAAAATATTTAGAACAGATATATTACCATTATGTTAATGGTAAGTAATGTACAGCCTGTAAAACCTCTGTTTTTTCTATTCTAGGTATGAACCAGAAGACTGACATCTGGAACATTATTGCTGTTTAAGAGAGCTCATATTTTTTTTTTGTATGTTTAAATAAAATAGTTATAACATTAAATTCAACACAACAAATATCGCACTGAGTTTTACATATTTCACTGTGTAAAAATGACTAAGTTTGTTACTCTTGTAGTTTATTAATATTTAATCCAGCATTTACATGAAAACATATTTCAATAAACCATTATCTACATTAATCTGCAGCTTATATGGACACATTGTAGTTTATCTAATTTAATTATAAAAAGTGAGTACACAAAAGTGAGTACACCCAGATGTCCAAATCATTTGCTATGCATACAACAGCACATACTGTTGTGATGAGGAAAACCTGTAAAATATGTAGATCACAATCTGAATTGACCTCTGGAAAGGGCTCTTCTTCATGATCAATACTTCTTCAAGTTCACAAGAGTCAGATGTGGAAGACAAAGGTTTTCCAGAAGAAGAAATCCACAAATTTACTGAATAGCTGGTTAACATTATTGAGGAACAAGATAGTCCTAGGTTCATGGATCTAAAGAAAAAAGAATAGAAGAACCGGAAAAGAGAGCATTTCTATCAAAACATTTTAAAATTCTGTTTGATATACATGAAGAAAAATGAGTGAGACCCATTACCCAATGTAGATGTCCCTAGTGCCTAACTGGTCCAAAATACTACATTTTCAGTAGAGGAAGCCAAAAGTTTGTGAGACCCAGTGGACAAGAAAACAGAAACAGCTTGCATATGAAGCAGCAGAGAACAAACTCTGATTTCAGGAGCATTTGTGACAAGAGCACAGAACATTTGGCTCCAAAATCTTGAAGAATGTCTTTTTGTGGAATCATCAGAAGATCCATTGCATCTGCTTAGACAAATACATCTGTCTAATGTATTTCTGTCTTACGTGGTGAATGTAAGCCTTAAGCTTGCTGCATGGAATATGGGCCTGTGAACTGAATTGAAGACAAGTTATCTGGCTAAGGCAGCTAAAGCATAAACAAATGCATAAAGGTCAAAGTCCAAAAGAGAAGGCTTAACCCTAGATGTGGTAATTACAAAACAAGAGCTGAAGTGGTAGAGGTTAACACAGTGAAGGAGTTTAAGCATGTGTGAGATAGGCATAAGGGTACCCTAGCTATAAGATAATGCTATGGACTAATGGAAGTATTCAGAAAATGGGCAGACTAGATGGGCCAAATGGTTCTTATCTGCCGTCACATTCTATGTTTCTATAGCAGGATAGAGAGGCCCTGACCAGCTAGTATTGGGCAGTAAGAAGTTAAAACTTAAGTTTTAATCGATAAAAGATAAACAAACGGAGGCACTCCATATAAGACATATATTTATTTGAGAAAATAGTGAAAATGAAAAAAGTGAAATCAAGTATATACATTTCTCATAATCGTCTGGTCAAAGTTTCTCTCAAACGCCAGTAAATCCATGTAAGCCTGAGCTTCAGATACCAGTTCCAGAATCCTCTGAGATAGAATTTTATATGCCATCTTCTTCTTCTTAGCACTATGGGTCCTATTCTGAGCAAACTGTAGCTGCTGCATCTGCTGAATTTGCTGTGGATTTGGTCGTTTACGGGTTTGGTCCATTCCTGACTGGGCCATGCCAGGTAACGCATCTGGACTTCCATCATAACCTGGAGGCCCCATGGCTGGTCGCTGAGGAGTCATTTAACTGCCTGGAATAATAATTCCAGGTCACGGGTAATTGGCTCTAGGCATTGGGGATCGATACATCCCCGGTACGGGACGCATGCGAGTCCATGGCCCCAACACAGCCGCTGCTGACCCAGATCCCTTCGGAGCTACCAATCGGAAACCAACCACTGGGTTGTACAACCACTTCACAGAATATATAATAAGTAAAAAGAAATGAATAAGAATACCCAAAAGATTAGAGTTTAACATAGAGCACAAGATCTATCACATTGAGCAAGTAAACTAGACTTTGCTGTAGAGGATCCGTGATCTTTTCCTAAGGCTGCCATGACAGAAGTGCAAGAGTTCACTTGCCGTGGATGAGGACCCCACCATCTGCTGGAGCCAATGCGCTCCTGGGTCTTGTTCCTAGATTTCAGTGAAACTTCAGTACCTGGCCTCTGGGTCTTTCCCATGCATGCACTAGGCCTTGCTTAGTGGGAATCCTCTGACAGCGCACATTCATCCCCTTCTGGGCGCTGTGTAGGAAAGCAGCTGCAAGATGGATAGATCCTCTGATGAGTAGTTCCCAGCTTCAGTCTCACGCTCTGCTTCAGCCGTGTCGGCAAGAGACGATTGCTTGACATAGTGGGTTTTGGATGGGGTGAACCACATAAAGGTGCAGCTGGTTTCTCCCAGAATGTTGCCCAAATTTGGTCCTGCACGAGTGTCTCATGTGCAGGAAGGTATTCAGGCCTTTGGGCGGTGGCCATTTTAGGTAGCAGGCCTCCTGCAGTCAACTTCTCATGGTTCCTGAAGTGTCAGTGATAAACAACAGCGGGACTGGGATATTCCCCACCAGTCCAGAGGGAGGAGACAGGGCACAGGAACAAGCAAGCGTAGGTTCCGGCAGATGATCGGCCGCCTCCCCCGCCCAGAGCTTGCAAGTACGCTGCCAAGGAAATCTTCTCAATAGCTAGATTTCTAGCCGATCCAAGGGGCTCACATTATGGGCTGCAGCTTCCCAGACGTGTATAGCCAGTTTACAAGCTTAAAGGGACACTGTAGTTACTATAACCACTTTGTCTCTTTGAATTGGTTATAGTGCCTGGAGTGCCCTGTCCCTCCATTCAGTGTTGCACCATGTTTGTGCAGTATGCCACAAAATAAGAGTCCCTGGCCACCCACAGTCTGGCCCCTTCTGTATGTGTAGCTAAGGCAGAGATTACACACTTCCTTGTTGTCATACCCATTCATACCGTTAGTTGGAGCTCTGACAGGTTAAAAGCAGTCAGCTGACACTCTCAGCCAATCACAGCTGCCCATTGCTGCTCAGGCTAATACTTCCTTATTAGCCAAAGCAGCACAGAGGGGATGGACTGCCGTGGTCTCTTGTTTAGCATTAAAACATTACAACATTAAAAACGGTTTAATGCTGAAAGAAATGATGGTACCAGGGGACTCCATACACTATAACCAGTTTAATGAGATGAAGCAGATACAGTGCCTATGGTGTCCCTTTAAATTTCACTAGATTTTGATATAACAAGCATAAATTCAGGTTTACATCAAGGAAGGGGAACAACACACATCTCAGCCAAAAAGCATATTTTCATTATTTAGATTAGGGGTAGTCAACTTGGTCCCTACCACCGGTTTGGGACTTCAGGTGGGCGGTGGTGGGTTCTGCAGAATCCTTTTATCTCCCCTGCCTGCCTATGCAGAGCCAGCCTTGCTATAAGCCCTCTCTGGCTGGTGAAGAGATTAAAGATCTCTCTCACCAGCCCGCTGGCACTTAGTTCCAGTAGAGGGAGGGAAAGGCCTTAGGAGGCTCTGTGTACCTCCAACGAGCAGGCTGGTCCGAGCGTTGCTGTGTATTACCATGGCAACCCTCCAATACAGTGGTGTGCTCGCAGTAGAACACGAGGTGGCTAAAGTGAACATACCACCACAGCTTGCAGCCTTATGTCCCCCCTCCCTGGTAAAAGGCAAGAATAAGGGAGAGGGAGACATTAAGATAGATTTTCACCGACCTACACACAGCATAGACCCTATGCAACCTTCACACAGAAACACACACTACACTCCTCACACACATTGCCCCCTCACACATGCACTGTCCCCCTCACACACGCGCACTACACACAAACACACACGCACTGTACCTGTCTCACACACACTACATGCTTCACACACAGCACCTCACAGAAACATATAGAAAAAAAAGTAGAATAGAAAAAGGGGGGGGAAATAGATAAATGTAAGTATATATAAACTGCGGCATTGTTGGGCTGTAAGAAAATGTTATCAACAAAGATACAAAAGTGGGTGGTAGGTATTTTTAAAAGGTTGACTACCCCTGATTTTAGATATTTAAAGAGGAAAAGCCACCATCCAAATTAACCATTTGCAGATGGATTATGCTGGCCATTAGTGAGGCATATTTAGCTAACAAAAAAGCCCCAACTGATAAAACATTAGAGCACATTCTATCAGAGTAAAATCAAGAAAGATCATTTGCTTCACTGGATATGATATGCAATGCAGCAACATGATCAACTCTCCACACATATATGAAACATTACCAGTTAGACATCTTGGCTTCCTCTGATGAAGCTTTTGGTGAAAGGTGCTACAGGCCCATATCACAGAGAAGATCTGACTCACCCTTTTCGAAGATTATGCTTGCTAGATCCCTATGGTACTGCAATTTTACTTGTAGAAAATTTGTATTTTTATTACAATTGTATTTGGCATAGTCCTATTGTCTAAAACTCCAAGTGATTCTTTGGTATTACTAAAGGGATGTGTGAGTACAGATATTTAATGAAAACTGTGGGCAAGAGAGAATTTATGTTAAATAAAACTTCACTTTATATATAAAATTAAATGTATCTGCTGAGAGTCATCACGGTTTGGATGTCTCCCATCTTAACAAGGTCAGTGTCAGTTGGTAGGGAACCTGGGCAATCTGATGACAAGTTGGCGACTGAAATAAACCATTCTTGCATACAAAGTAAGAATCTAGACCTACTTAATTGCTGCTACAACAGCAGACAAACTAAGAGGAGTTGCATGAACTGTATGTGTGGATGAACAAGAGACAATAATCTACAACACCACCAAAACAGCTAGTTACACAACATTTGAACATAGTCAAGAGGAAACTAGTGTCAGTGGAATTAGATGGACTACACATGTATTCCTACAGCTATTACTAACCTGCATCTGTGCTCCAAAATGGCTTAACTGTGGATGTATATTCATAGAGAAATTAGCATTCCTTGACCCTTGGACAAGACTACATATATCACTGCAAAACTGCGACCAGACAGTATGCCAGCAGTGGTTAATGAGGCACTATTTACTATCCAAACCAACGCTATCATAGACACCAACAAGCTCATATATGCCAAGGTATAATTGGTCCTCCAAAGGGTTGACTAAAAGGTCAGACAGAGAGAAATATTGCCCTTCATGGAGACTTAGACTGGATAAAGTCAACATGTAAGAAAGTTAATAAGTTGGATCAGCAATACAGAGGTGTAAAGATCAAGGGTAGATTGTGGCTACTGTGTCAGGACAGTATAGTGGCCCAACACGCAGTATTAAGTCAAACATGGTAAATATATAAACTAAGGAAAAATTTATTACTGTGCCTTAGAATGGCTGGAATAACCAGTAACTAGCCAAGGTCATGGGTACAGACCGGAGCAAACACGGGGAGTCAAAAGCCAAAGAGTCAGGATGCCAAAAGTAAGAATAGTCAGGACAAGCCAATATCAAAAACCCAAATATCAAATACAGGAACGTGCTCTCAGAAAACCAAACAGTAATGGAAACCACAACAGGGCAAAGAGGCGATACATAAATGGGTTTACATAGCCTATTCCTAACTGTCATTGGTGGGCAGGGAACATGTGATTCCAGAACGTGTGTGCACGTCGATTACGTGGTTGCACACGCATGTGGGGTTACATATGTGGCTGATATCGCGGCGGATGGCATCCATAGGAAGGCCGCACACCCTGGGGATGGACTCGCCGGTGGATCTGGCTGTGATCCGCCGTGACTTAGGTAGGTGCCAGTCTTTATTCAATTGACCGCACCGATCGGGTGAGGTCACGTGCGGCCGCGAGCTGGGGTCTGTGACATACTGTAGAAATATATGTGTATGCTCATACCAGAGGCTCTGGAAACAACCAAGCAATGGTTGATCACACTGGCAACAAAACTGAGCACATACATCAGAGAAGCAGAGTCTGAGAATAAATGCCCTGATTACCAGATAACCATCCAGGGTATATGCATACCTTGTAGGGTAACCCAAGACCCAGAACAGTACTAAAAGAGCATCTGTGAAAAAAAAGCATCACATAAAGCATCACATAACACCAAGGCCCAGTGGCTTCTGCATGTTCTCAGAACAGGAACAAGCCACCATCATAATCGGAGATAAGTGTCTCACATAAAGAGTTGATCAACTCCTGGTCCAGACATGGTCACACCTACTAGATAAAGAAACTAACAGTGCTGCATGTACGCAGTGGTGTATCCTGATTTTGTGCTGCCCTAGGCAGGACAAAACTCAGGCACCCCCCCCCGCGCCACCCCCACCTGCGCAACCGCCACCCAACCTTCCCCCCTGCTCCGCCTTCTAAATACACACACACACATTCACTGACAGATACGCATTTACTAGCTAACAGAAACACACACTCACTAACAGACACACACTCACAAACTCACTAACAGACACACACACTCACAGGCAAACACACACACACACACTAACAGGCAAACACACACACTAACAGACATCCACACTAACAGACATCCACACTAACAGACACACACACACTAACATTAACATACACACTAACACTAACAGACACACACACTAACACTAACATACACACACTAACACTAACATACACACTAACAGACACACACACTAACACTAACATACACACACACTGACAGACACACACTGACAGACACACACTAACAGA